TTACACATACTAAAGGATGAGTCAAAATGATTGTCTGTAGTAGCCAGTGTTGGGGAAAGTTACTTTTAAAAGTAATGCATTACAATATTGCGTTACTCCATAAAAAAGTAACTAATTACGTTACTTAGTTACTTTTTATGGAAAGTTATGCGTTACGTTACTAGTTACTTGAAGAAAGTAATCTGATTACGTAACTCGCGTTACTTGTAATGCGTTACCCCCAACACTGGTAGTAGCAGTCAGTATGGGTTGGTACATACTGCAGTCACTGGGTTGAAAATAACTGAATATTTCTTTTAATGTTCTACACTCTACAGTCTTAAATAACTACTACATTCAGTAATTAACTAACATGGTACTAAATGTCCTCAATATTACTACAGAACTGTCTCGAGAGCGAGAGACTCACGCAGTCCTCTGAACACATCGCCCTCAGCATCAGCCAGGGTTTTTCCCTGCTCCAGGGTTATCAGCTTTGCCAGCTCTTTCTGAAACACAAATCAAATCACATATACAATTAGCAGGCAATAGGGCAGAACGATTAATCAAAATAAAACTAATTGCAGTATGGCATGGTGCATTCATCAAAATCGTTGGAATTTAATTAAATAAATATGCTCTGCATGCTTCAGAGCTCAGGATCCAGTGTTTCAGAGTGGCTTAGTTAGCAGTAAATGCTGCTCCACATGAACTGCATCTGCTCGGAGTTTGGGTTGCATGTGTTATAATATTTACAAACCTGTTGCCAACCAAGGAGAAGCTTAAAGGTCTCCCTGCAGTTTTCCAGCATAAAAAAGCTTGATTCTTTAATTAAGACTAAAGAAATATATTGTAATTTTACAGTTGTATTTTAAAAATACTATTATTGTTGTTGTCTTAAATGTTTGGTTTTATTATTTGACAGTGAAATAGTATTATTACAACAGAAATATTTTTATTTTATTATATATTTACATTTATTGATGACAATTATAAAATAATATTTATAATAATTATAATAATAATAATGAAAATGATATAATAATAATAATAATAATAATAATAATAATTTACATTTATTGATGACAATTATAAAATAATATTTATAATAATTATAATAATAATAATGAAAATGATATAATAATAATAATAATAATAATAATAATAATAAATTATTATTTTACAAAACTTACAAAAAAATGCATTTTTGCTCGCAGCTGCAATTTTTAATAAACTATTTACCCCAAAAAAATGTAAGAGGCCCTAGTAGCCCTAGCTCTACCATTTAACTATTCACATTACAAATCAATAAAGGACTATTAATCAACACTATCAGTAACCGTTTATATAATTCTATTAAACTGTAGTGCAGTTACTGAAAACAGGGTTCCCACAGCCTCTTGAAAAATTTCCAAACCTGAAAGTTTACCATTGCCGTGAAATCCCAGTGAAAACCTTTTAAATGAAGATCTACCAGTGTTACAGTTAGTATCCATATTTAACAAGCACAAGAAGTGTGTAGAACAGGATCTAGTAAAATGAGACCTAAATTATGCTAATTTCAACCATAAAGTCTGGTGTTGATTGGAAGATGAATCAAAAAGCAAAATAAATTAGTTGAGGATGGGCAGCAGTAACTTACTATATTGTCTTTAATGAGCTGCTGATAGCGAAGGAAGATCTGCTGGCGGGCCAGGATGGAAGTTTCGGACCAGGTGTGGTACACCCGTGAGCATGAGTCCACGGCGGCCAACATCTCCTCATGTGTGGCCTTTGGCACTCGACCAATAACCTCATTGGTGGCCTGAGGACAGCACATGCATTATAATTCAATCACAGAGACAGTTCATCTATAACTAATGGTTTGTTGCCTCGAATCTGCAAAGAACTGATACAGTAGGTCACTTGTAAAAAAAAAAATTCTGATTGCTGACAATGGTTATACTTACTTGCTGTTAACATTAACTAAACATAAAAACACAGCCCAAACGATTCACCTACTTATAACAACATACTAAAAATGCATGCCAAAGCAACTTCAAAAATGTCCACCTTTTCCGTACCGAAAACCCAGACTGCTTTTAAACTACTCTAATGTGATATTAACCAGACTTCCTTAAATATAGAAAGCAAATAGAGCAAAGAAACAAACAAGCAATTATTATGGCATCTACTGTGCAAAGCAGATTACAGCAAAGCTCTAGAAACTGGTTAATCTTAATGTTTTCTTAATTGCTCCTTTTGCACATTGTTAACTGTACTAAACCATCAATAAGCAATCATTTTTAACAAGATCTTTTTTTAAAGAACCAACAATATAAGTGAAGCTGCTGTATATACTGACTGATGGTATAACTAAGGAAAAGTAATGCAGGTGTTGTGTGTTTTCTAGTCAGGTTGATTAGCACAAATCACATGTGCTTAAACCACATTAATCTAATCGGCTTAACTTGGCCTATGTGTGGTCAATGAATGTAATCTGTTAAACTACTGTGCATTAAACAGTTAAACTGATGTCTGTTAGTACAGTATGAACTTACAGGATTGTGAATGTCCAACCATTCTGGACTCTTGGATTCTACAAACTTTCCATCAATGAACAACTTGGTGGTGGACTGAGAAAGGACATAGAAAATGATGAAACATGAATGTAAACAGCAAACATAAAACACAACTCATTAACAATTATAACAATAAAAACTTTTTCAAGTGACTGATGAGATGATAGTTTGCATCTTAAGACTAGAATACCTAACTTTTCTCCAGATTTTGAACCTGGTTTGCAGTCTGGATGAGTCAAAGTCTGCAAGTGTTTGATGCCTAGTGTTTTAAAATCTGTCGTGTAGTGTATTCCAGTCTTTACAAAGACAACATTAGTGTTATTCCTCTTATAAGACTGAGCTAAAAGTCTAGAATGAATGAGGGATTTCTCTGGTCACTGCCAGATCTGAGTCATATAAGTCTAGTGCAAGGTTCAGTACGAGGCAGTGGTGTGTGGTGGTCTTCTGAAATGAGGAGGCAAAGTTTCATTTGATGTTTACATTGTGTACAGGTTAAAGGCTTATGGAATGATATTTATAATCAGCTGATGACCTAGAACAATTGGATATATAAGCAATATTTATACAAAAATCATTGTCTGCTTGATTTTCATAATCACTTAACCACTGTGCTTTTAAGAGTACACTGTTTTTCACATATTAGATAAACATTCTATTAACCCACTTATGTTTCTTTCGGCTTCAAACACCCTTAGCACAAATCAGCACAATACTTGTTCTCCAATACCTGATGAACTTACCACAGAGGAGTAGCACATGCGTCCCATCTGAAGAGGAACCTGCAGAACAGGTCACAGGTACAATATTAAATGATCTCCGTTATTGTGTCTGGCCAGATCATTTCAATAGATATCAATCAGTATATTAAACCTAACGTAAAACTGCTGTGCACTTACATTTGACTTGGTTCGTAATCAGCATAGAGAGGAAATGAATGGGTTATATAGCTTTTGATCAAGGTACATATGAAAAAATCTTTATATACAGAGAAGCTGCTTTTCTGATTGCATATACGACTCATTTGTTGCAAAAAATGTATTCGTGCATGAAGTTCAATGCTTTCTAGGACTCTGGTAGCACTAGTAGCACTTGGCGCGTTTGAACTTGACAAAAACTGTTGTAAAATGATATAAGAACAAATGTACTATAAGTGTGGTGATTAGGCTACAAACTCCTCGCAATTCCTACATCTTACAGCCTATTTTTTATAGTGTATTCTATATAGAGTTGCTTTCATGGTGGCTCGTGAGCAACAGAGTATCTGCTCGTGGTGTTTGACCGTGAAGTTGATACTTTGACAACATGGCGTAACGTTAAACTCATACTACATGTATGATTTTAAAATGCAATGCTTTTGTGTTTCTTACCCTCTTCTTTACAAGGGAACGCATTAATGTCGCTGCCATGATGGAATTCGTAGGTTAATGTTGTATTCGCCCCCCTATAATGTGCGTCCAACCCGCGCCCTGCAGACGAAGCGCTTTTCCTACTGTGACTTTAAGAATGGGCGGGACATCGTGTTCAAACAGCCAATCATGTGCTAAAGCCAAATACTCCCCCAAATGCAGGCAATCTATTGGTTAGACCTGTCAAATGATGGACCAATGGCAGTGCGCGCTTGTTGAAAGGCGTTTCTTTGATGACACAGGCACACATCATAAGCGAGAGATGTTGCTCAGGAAGTGATTGGGTATTAAACCTGTCAATTATTAATTACTCAGACGGAAGACATGTGACAAATGTATGCTATATGACAAGAAAACTTTTAACTACGCATTTAATAATCGCCATTTTTGATGCAATTACTTATTACCATTTAGCTAAGTGAAATCTTTCCGGTTCTGATACAAAATCAAGTAAACTAACTGCTTTGAACTACAATGTTTTGAAGTCATCTTAGTGAATCATTTTAGCGAATCGATTCGTTCGAACGGCTCGATTCTATATAAAAATGATTCATTTGAGTCATGCAACGCAGCATTTTTAGTTGATTTTTTTTTTTGTAAAACGGTTTATTTGTTTTCGATTATATTAGATTGTGTCACGTGTTTTGTTTGTTTATTCAAACATTTTTGATAAAGTTATGGATAACAACACAAATAAGAATATTATTATTTACAATACAATACAAAATGTTATTTTTAAATATATAAACATTAATAATACCCAATATTGTTACAAACAGTATTGTTCCCACAATCTTTTATTCTGAAACAAACACATCTCAACCGGCTTGCGAATCGGTTCGACTGAATCCTCAACAAGAATCGGTTCATAAGAAGTTCTCTCTAGTAAACCGAGCAATACTACAATGTACAGTGAATAAGTCCATCTTAAACGAAATCCATTCTTCTCGGGGACCAACAGTCTAATATGAGTGCATCCGCTGCACGTTTAATCAAGGTAAATGCATAAATCCTGCAATTGCAGATGAGAGATGATAGACATCTATCTAAACGCACACACAAACGAAATCATTTCCCGATGTGTCTCCCGAAGTCCATTGAAGTTGCTTAGTCACGAGAAACTCAGCCAGGAGGAGGATTTTTGGTGGTACATCTCATTGGTTGACCAAGTAGTGGGTTTTTCTTGTATAGTTTCAGTAGTAACTGGACTGCTATATGCATGCCATGGCGACACACGCGAAGGTTAAATATGTCGTTTCTTATCTTAAATGAAGTTATTGTTTGTAATGCATTATTTGACTGTTATATTGTCATGTTCTAGCCTGTTCTTTATGGATATTTTAGAAGTTCATGCTCTTGGAGAGTCCGGATAGGTGAGTCTTGAATACATCAGTTCATTCTGTTTACCATCATCTATCTCGAGCATGTCTAATATCATTTTGTTTTCTAATGAAATGTAAATGTGTTTAATATTTGAAGCGTTTGCATTGAAAGGCATTGAATATGAGCAAAAGTCAGTAAATCTCATCAAGGATGGTGGGCAACAGGTATATATGCAGAAATCTATATGCTCTGATTGTTAATATTCATCTAACCATGTCTATAACATTCCATGTTAACTCAATTATCTTTTTTCACAAGCTAACAGATCAGTTTAAGGCAATAAACCCAATGCAGCAAGTGCCTGCAGTCACCATTGATGGCATCACCTTGTCTCAGTCGGTAAGAACATGCATTCTGCTTTGTGGCTCACATAAATTAAATTATTTTATGTTTACAGTGTTTTGTTATTTACCACAGTTGGCCATCATCCAGTACATTGAGGAAACTCGTCCAGAGCCCCGCCTCCTGCCAGCAGACCCAAAGCAGAGGGGTCAGGTCCGCATCATCTGTGACATCATCGCATCTGGAATCCAGCCCCTCCAGGTTTGACATGACATTGTGTTTATAGGTGCACAAAGTAACAATTTCAACTATAAAGAAGTTGTTTGAATGGTTTTAGGTGGGTCCAAGTCAAAAAAGCCCACCCCAAGTCTCTATAATGTTTCCATAAGTATCATGTCCAATCACATGGAAAAGTTACTAACACTTGTCCTCTACAAGCAAGAATTTAGCATCAGTGCTTTAAAGGAATATCAATCAAGCATTTCATTAAAGACCCCATTATTTCCAATAATGCTGTATTTCAGAATCTGTATGTGCTTCAGAAAATTGGAGCAGATAAGGTACAGTGGGCTCAACATTTCATCAACCGAGGATTCGAGGGTGAGTTTTTCCCATTAAGTTCTTTTCAATGTAGTAACATCTTGCTGTCATATAAACCATCAGTTTAATTTTGATCTTTGATGCAGTTCTCAACACGTTCCCTTTCATGGGAACTTCGAACTGCGTCCTCTAGGGGTCGCTATGGGGAACGCCTCGTCGTGACCCGTGTCTGAAGCATACATTGAAAAAAACACCAACTCGTTGGCCGGCGACAGCCATGACGTCACTACCGTTGCGACTATAGTATAAATAGGCACCGGGAGCACACATCATTCTCTTCTTCATCTTCATTGACTGTTTTGTTTGAAGCATGCATTTCTGTGGTAAGAGCGATCTATATTCATATCATTATGGCGAGCACTAGCAAAGCGTTTAGAGGATGTGTGCATCTGTGTTGTCGTTGTTTAACATATGATGACACACACGATCTATGCGTTATTTGTAGGGATCCACCGATACCACTTTTTCCAGTACTCGCCCGATACCGATACTTTTATTTTTGGTACTTGCCGAGCAAAGAAGCTGAGGCTGAGCCTTCCCAATCCTCCTGCCCTGCGTATGATGAGCTTTTGAGAAGATGCCCCTATAGAGAGACGCTGGCCAGCTACTGTGGGTGAACCTAGCAGATATCAGGAAAAAAGAGAGGGGCTTTCTTCTCGAAGCGCCGGTTTCGCCTTCCATATTTTTGGTACCTCCGTTGAGTCGGTGGTCGAGAAGTTCAGGGAGGCAAAGTTCTATGGCTTCATAGTGACCACCTTACTGATGGTCCGGACCAGAGGCTTCTTCGCACGGGGCTCCGACGTGGGAACCATGGTGGGTGAGTACGATCCATTTCTAAATATATATATGTGTATTTAATGCGCTGGTGGTTGTGTGTATAATCCTTCTGCTAGCTTTCTTTGCAGTGTTTCCCGGGACCTGTGTGTTTCTGTCCTTTTTCTAGGGTAGGTCCTCGATGAGCACCCCCTCTACTGGGTTCAGAAACCGGGTGCTTGACTTGCAGTGTTTTATTTCACTCGTCGATATATGTCCAGACAGTACGATAAACCGAGTTTCGGCTTCATACTTCCTGGATTATGCGGCCAGGTCACAGGCTTCTGCGGGAGCCTTCTTGATCATTAGGCCCCCGGCACGGCACGGCACTGCAAAAATTTCCTGGACGTCCAGGCTGGGCTTATGCTTTCAGGCTGCCCTGTCTGGTCTACCGTATCTAGGTCGCCCTGAGGGGCCTCCCGATCACCATGATATCCCCTCTTGCGGAGGCATCGAGCGGGAAGTATAGGTGGCATTTGCGAGAACCTTCTTGTGTAAATGCTGTCTCAGGCAGTGCTCCCCTCACCATAGAGGGTTGTATTTGAGCTTGCCTCTCCCGTTTGGCTCCGTACTGAGTGGTTTAAAACCCCGGTTCCGCCTTGGGCACCACTCCACCTATGTATCCTCTGGATACCTACTTTAACAGGGTGTTGCTACTAGGGGTCTGTTGAGACAGTTCCTTTAGCATATGCAGAGCGTGCAGTAGTGTGACAGGCCAAGACTTAGTATGATTCTAGGCTCTTGGTCGTATTCCCTTAAAGGAATCTATTCCTGATTCCAAGCCTTGAGCTCTACCCAGGGCCCAGGAGTTCTGGCCCTAAGTTTTTTGAGGTATGTAGCTTAGGCCTTTGGCCGTAGGGAATAATGTCACTGACGGCCGTCTAACGTTACAGGGGCAACTCCCATGGCAATATGGTAGAGTTGGTACTTAGTGCTCGCCATGGTTTCTGGCATGCACTCCCCTCAGCATGGTGGCGTGGGTATACCGTTCCCCATAACGACCCCTAGAGGATGCAGTTCGAAGTTCCCTTGAAAGGGAATGTCTCAGGTTACGTATGTAACTATGGTTCCCTGAGTAGGTAACGAGACACTGCGTCCTCTAGGTTTCTTGCCATGCTTCGGATGCAAGCTTCAGACAAAGAAGTGGATGATGTGTTCTCCCGGTGCCTATTTATACTATAGTCGCACCGGTAGTGACATCATGGCTGTCGCTGGCCAACGTGTTGTTGGTGTTTTTTTCAATGTATGCTTCAGACACGGGTCACGATGAGGCGTTCCCCATAGCGACCCCTAGAGGACGCAGTGTCTCGTTCCCTACTCAGGGAACCATGGTTACATACGTAACCTGACACGTTTTCCTGCAAGTATTGTAACACAAATACTTCACAGCTGATTGCTTTAACTGTGTAATTGACTTTTATTGCATGTGTTATTTGAAGCCTTAGAGCCTATTCTGAAGCAGACGGCAGGGAAATACTGTATTGGTGATGAGGTAATAGCTGTGATGAAGGTTTTGAACAGTAGTGTTTAAGAATTCTAAATTCAGTTTTAACATGCTTTGAAACATTGCTACGCTTCTAGATATCCATGGCAGATATTTGTCTTGTGCCTCAAGTCTACAATGCTGAAAGGTACACGTCTCTTTAAAGCTGACATTAATGTTTATACAATGCAAAATGCTATAATGTACACTCTACTGTCCTTTACCAAAGGTTCAAGGTGGATATGTCCCAGTTCCCTACTATCAGAAGGTTAAACCAGACCTTAATTGAGATCGATGCTTTCAAAGCCACTCATCCATCATGTCAGCCTGATACTCCTGATGATTTGCAGGCATAATCTGAATAATGAAATCAATAAAACACTTTGATAATCCATTGTGAGAGACTCTTCGTTAATAAGTTAAGACAGTTCAGTTTCTTTTTAGCAATGTACTGCATTTATTGATTTGGTGAAAAGACTGCAGTTGCTTTTTGCAACTTTCAGACATCTATGGACAAGAGATGAGCTGTACATGCCAGTGACTTAAAGGAAAATGTGTGAGTGAAATGTGAAACATAAAAAGTGGACAAACGTGTAAAGTACATGCAAAACAAGAGAAAACATTTATTGCACAAAGTCTCTGAATGTACTAAATAACAAATCTGAACTACATGTGAGAGAGAGTGAAGGCTTTGCTTGCTTTTAAGGAAATCAATATAAAAACGGTAGCTGTAAAACAGCTGTTCATGCTAAAACTGCAACAATGCAACTTTAAAAAACAAACGCTAAAAGTGCTTCAAGTTCCAATTTTTTGTAAGTACCCTACATTCATTTCTAAGAAAAAAATCCTGTAGTCCCTGATCCTAAACAGGGAGTTCAACCGTGCATTTAACGGTGTCATTATAAAACGTTCCTGAACAATCTGACCCTCCAAATACTAGGACGGTACACTGAGAGAGGCTCTTGCCATGACGGCGATCCCTCGGGTCTGAAGATAAAGCCTTTGTACAGCCCAGGCTTATCAGACTGTGGCCTGCGCGAGGCTTAGAGCAAAGCAAAGGAGATGCCACTGATGTCCAGGAGCTTGTATCTGCAAACATGCATTGCTTTAACCTTTCAAACCATTCAGACTAATAACTGTAAACTGTAGTCTTTCAAAGAACCTTGAAATCAATGACTTTGGGACTTCATTCCTGGTAGTTTTGAAGCCAGTTAAGTTAAAGTAAATAAATTCTGTCATCATTTATTTACCTTTGTTTCATACGTGTATGACTTCCTTACTTTGGTGGAACACAATGCTGAAACGGTTTTTGTCCATATAATAAAAGTCAATACAACATTGGACCAAATTGACTTTCATTATTTGGGGGAAAAAAAGTTTGGAACATGTAGTTTGAGTAAATGACAATTTTCATTTTTGGCTGATCTCTTAAAAACACTCCATGGGAATTTTATAATGAATAAACATTTTACCAGTTATGCCAAACTGAAATATATTTTATCAGGTAGAAAGTTAAAGTTAAAAGTTTAAATTAAAAAAAATATACTTCTGTGAGATACTGTATGTATATATATATATATATATATATATATATGCACATATAATTTTATATATATAATTTTTGTTTTTTTACATCCTTAAGCCTTAAGTAAATCATCAACAACTGGAGGAGTCATGTAAATTAATCAAATTCAGCAGGGAGATCGACCAACATTCAGCTCTTAAAATTTCTGAAATCTTGACATTTATTTTTGTTTTAATAGTTATTATTTTAATTACTTTTTAATAGATTATATTAGATCAAAAAAGTTCTGAATGACAAAGCTTGGTCCAGGGGTTTCGAATATTGTTGTGGACAATAGTGGGCTTTAAAATGAATAATCTTCCTATTTTGGTTAAAAAAAAAAAAAAAAAAACATTAATTTTTATTACATCTAATTTTTGTAGAATAAATATTCTCTATTGTTAATTGATAATGTTCATCAGTAAGTCAAATGTATGTTTGTCAAACCATTTTATGTCTTTAAGGTATTTAAACTTTAATTAGCTATAATATATTTAGTTGTATGGTAGTTAGTGTAGTAAATTAGGCAATGACAGACCAATGTTAAAGAGATGGAAGTCCTTTAGGGCTCCTACAGCACTGCAGCCTCCGCTGATCAGCACCCTGTTGTCAGACACGGGTAGAGCAGCGTGAAACCTGCACAGCAGAATGACCAAAAAAACTTCAAAATACATTAATGTAAGTAAATTGTCTTATTGAACTGTAACTGTATTTACAAATTCTTCATTGGCAGCTTATTCTAGTTTTCTTTTAAAATAAGTTCATATTTTGAAGTCTTACCCACGGGCCAGTGGTGGTATGTTCTCGTATTTTACAGCAGTGTATTCCATGAAGCCTTTTCCACAAGAAACAAGACTAAGTATAGAGACTGTGATAATATGAGCAACACAGCAGACAGTGAATACTTTCAGATGCTCAGCATCATTACCAAGATCCAGGATGTGAAGATCACTGAGGTAGGTGGCAGTTTTTCTCCCCACATTTTACTTTCACTTTCGAATTAGCGGCAGTTTGGAGCCAGTTGCTTGAAGGCAACAACAAAATACAACGTCAAACTCACTTTAGCCTATATATAAAACATAGAACTTTTATTAACAAAACAAATAAAAATACACCATGCTATAGGGCAGGCTATGCCTAATATAAAAATATAGCTGCAAGCAGCAATCACGGGGCCAAGCACTCCAGAGGCAAATTGAGGAGCTAAGCATGGCATGGAGCATCAGACCAAATGCAACAATGAGTAATACAAGCAATTTTAGGATGATTGTAATTGAAATGGCTGAAAAATCATAAATACAACCACTAGTAATATGATTAAATGGCTTATCAGTTTTGACCAACAGGTGGCGCTGCAATCAAATCGTTTTGGTGTGTTCTGTGTGAGGTGACAATGGCACATACGAGGTTTGTTGTCATTATGTCAAAGCTTTGAAGAGATATAGCCTCAAGAGTCATTTTGGCACCATACCTAACGATGGTGGGGGTCGGTGCCACGGTGGGCAAGTGACATAACCGGTGTTGCGGCTTAACACCGGTATCACCGTCAGCACCATCTATAGTGGCAAGCCTAACACGTTCCTGATTTTAGTTGCATATACTGTGGATGGTGATTATGAAACTGGATGAAAAGTCAAAGTTAAACTACTTACCCAAACCTGGGAAGAGGACGGTCACCCTCCACGATCGGTTGATACCACAGACCATGCTCAGGGTTGAAAATGTACAATGCGTTACTGCTGACCTTGCCTTCAGGACATCGGCTGGGCTGCACTCCTCCAAAAACATACAGCTCCTTCTTATAGACTGTGGCACTGTGGTACGCCAATGATGGGATATTTCCCTTTGCCTATCCCAACCCGAAACATCATACATATATGCAACAGTAAGTCAACATCTGCAACACCAAAACATACACAAATCATGTAAAGAATCAAATGATCTAATACTCACAGAAACAAGCTTCCACTTCCAAGTTACAGTGTCCAGTATATAAATATCACTGTATCGCTGGGCGTCTCTCAGACCACCGTACACATAGACAGCTTTAGACTCAGGATCAAAGGTTGCTGAGTGACCTTTTGAGCTTGGTAGACTGACCTCAGATGATGAGACGTCCATGGGGAACCAGAAATCATTATCTGAGAATTAGTACAGTTATAGTTGTGCTACGGTATATTAAAGCAATAAGCCCCGAGAAGCCGTGGTTTACAGTGAATGTATAACAGCTAAGGGGCGTTGTTAGGCACGACGCAAAGCCCTTAGCTGTTATAAATTCACTGTAATCCACGGCTTCACGGGGCTTATTGCTTTCATAAATCGGTTATTCCATATACGTAGTAAGGTTTCACAAAATAAAACAGAGCAAATAAAGTGTAATGATAATAATAAAAACATTATTCTTCCGCCAAACAATGTAGTTCCTCAGAAACGGTTGTGGTTCCAACAAAGTGGTTGCCGCGCAACACACAGAAGTAAACAAAGGTGTATGTTTGTAGCACTGATCACTTCGAACTTGGCTCAAGTTCGAGAATCAAGAATCAAGGACCGGAACTATCCGTTATATACAGTATATACACGTGTATATGTATGCATGTATGTATGTATGTGTGTGTATATATATATATATATATATATATATACACACACACATACATACATACATACATATATTAGAATTATTTATATACCAATTATATCAAATATATCAATTAAATGTGAAAAATACATATGTAAAGGAAAATGTTAAAATTCCCCACTTTGTGGTAAGAAACTTCTAGAAATATAATACAGTAAATAATCTTAATTTTGAATTGAGTAAATAATTCTATATAATAAGAATTAAATTAATCCAATAATAATTATATAATGTACATTTGCTTGAATATGATCGTATAGTCATAGTTCTGCATTCATGCAACACTTCTTAATAAATTCTAGCTGCCCAAATCAGCAAAAAAAAAAAATATATATTTTTTTTTTTTGCATTTTGCAAATAACAATCTTTTAACTTTTCATATTGAATTTTAAAATGATACGCACCAATCTCCAGTTTCCATATAGAATCTTTACAACTGGCCTGGTCATCAGCCTCCCCACCAATCAGAATGGCCGTTTCAGGATCACTCAAACACATGGCATGGCTCCAGCGCTTTGATGGACAGTCTGAGAATAATAACTTGATTAAATAAAATAAATAAATATAAATAAATAAATAAATATATATACAGTGCACAGCATACATGAGTACACCCCCTCTGAATAAATATAAAAGATGTATTTTCTTAATTATCACTAATATAATTCATTGAAAGATGGCAAAATTTAAACATATTAAACATATACTTAATAAAAACAACAAAACATATGCCAATATTTTCTGTAAGATAAGTAAATTAGCCAATTTTGTTTAAATGAAGGATTGCAGAAATGAGTACACCCGAGATTTAATTCAGAAAATGTATAATATTCTAGTACTTAGTATGTCCTCCAGAACTTAAAGTATACTGCTCTGACACTTCTTGGCACTGAGTGTAGAAGTTCATGACAAATTTTCACATCTGCGCTGTTTAACTCCTGGAGGAGGACCTCCTTGAATGCTCTGGTCTTTAATGGGGAGTGTTGCTCAGCTCGTCTCTACAGAATCTCTCAAAACTGCTCAAGAGTGTTAAGATTGAGTGAAATACATCTGTACTCCTCCTCTAGCAACACCAGAACATTTTGGATGCTTTTGGATCCGAAATGATTGACTTGGGTCTCTTGAGACCTGAGTATGGATTCCCAGAAGTCTCTATGTTGTAAATATGGGCCCTGGAAGAGGTTAAATGAGTTTATTTTGCTTTGGCTACCGTAGGTAATTCTAGTGGTGACAACAACCATGCATGTCACTCCTGCATGCTGCGTCATACTCTGTGAGATAAAGTGTCACTCTTTTCATAGCTTTTGCCGGCTCTGAGACACTTGCATGTTATTTCTCCTGCTCTTTTTCTAGCAAAAATTCACTCATCACTAAATGAAAACTTAAAAGTGAAGACCTGATTATTTCAGGAACCTTATCACAAGTCCATTGTTTTTGAATGTTGGTGCTACTTCTGCTATATTTTCACACTTAAAACAATAATTTGGTATTCCTCTTGTACCATTGTCCTCTTTTATGCTAAGAAATAAATCCCTTGGCAGTTCTCTCCCAAGTGGTTCCACTGCTCCCAGCATTAAGTCTGAGAATCTTATTTTGCTGAATAATTTTGGCATTCTTCTTTGGTAACTGATCAAGCAGGCTAGTTGGAACATTACATCTCCAAAGGACCCTAACATGTTTTCTAAGTAAAGAGTAATTGCTGAATTTGTTAAGTTTTAGAGGGGGTGTACTCATTTATGCTGTGCACTGTATATATAGATATATATAGCAATCACAGCACACCTCGCTTTTTTAGACCGATGAGCTTTGTAAAAAATCGCCAAAGGCGGGGCATAGAGGAGAAACAATAAATGTACTGTATGTGGAAAGTAATGTGTTTTTTGAACCTTAAAACGCATAAACACATTTCATTACACCAAATACACAAAATAATGTTCTTTTTAGCAGCATCATATGACCCCTTTAATATTATTGCATTGAAATATTACAAACTTATTGCAAATATTAGGAATTTATAGTTTAACATAAATAAACTATGCTATCAATATTTCCACAGTTATATCAAGAACTAATTCTGCAACTATGACAATGGTTTTAATCAGAGGTAACATTAAGATTCCAAGCGTGTAAATAAACATTTATCATGTTTAATCTGAGTAGAGGAATGAGCCTTTACCAGCCCTGCAGCTCTTCACACGTTTGATGACCATCTCGTCCTCTAAATCTACCGCACACATTTTATGCAGTTTGCGCTTCTTTGGGCTTGAAACTCGGTTTGGATCCTGAGGGCCTTCCATTTCTTCAGAACTCCAAACATATCCTTTTATTCCTATAATGGAGCGTCTTGATGTTTTGTCCTTCAAAAACCACACAACAGAAATGGTACGTTTTAAAATTTGAAATGCTCTCAATGCCTGGAGATCAATCTACCTGCTGAAGAACTAGTTTGTGGATGACTCCTTACTATCGGCCACACACCCTGAAGCAGAGTGTTTTCCTGCGTCAATATTTTGCTTTTGCCCAGCTCCGCACAGCTGACACTTCCCTCGGGAGGTGATCTCTGGGTGATCTTCATAAAGACGCAAGGAGAAGTCATTCTTTTGTGCATTCACTTCATCGCAAGTCATGTCTTAAGGCATTTCATAAACCTAATTTCTAGAATAAAAAAAATAAAAAATCTGATGACTAGTTAAAGGGAAAGTTCACTCAAAAAAATTAAAATTGTCACCATTTACTCATGTTCATTATTTACTCAACCAAACAGCTTCCGGAATATTTTTTTTCTCCATAGTATGGAAGTCAATGGGGTCCATCAACTGTTACCACATGTCTTCGAAATATCTTCTTTTGTGTTCAGCAGAAGAAAGAAATTCATACAGGTTTGGAACAACCTGAGGGTGAGTACATGATGACAGAATTTTCATTTTTGGGTGAACTGCCCCTTTAAATATATAGAGAGAGAGAGAGAAAGAGAGAGAGAGAGGTCATTTTTTATCTATGAGAGGGCTTGGATAAAACGAAAAGCACAAATCAACAAAAGCAAGAATTATACAGTAATTTAACACGTACGATCAAAAATAGTATCACTGAAACCTTTGTTTTGAAATATGCACTTGATTCCTCAGGCACTGTAGTACACTCTGTAGTACAGAGTCTTATTCCGCCACAGCGAGTACCCTGAGGGTGAGTACATGATGACAGAATTTTCATTTTTGGGTGAACTGCCCCTTTAAGTCTTTAAGAAGAACAGAGAACAGATGATTTCACTCAAGTCATAAGCAAAGCGTGCCTCACATCATGACTCTCTCCGCTGCTGAGTGATGGGTTGGAGGAGTGGCTCATCGCTAAACGTTTCCTTGCCATTCGTGGAGTGCTGCTGATAAAGCTGGATCTCACCTTCAAAGAATATACAGTTTAACTAGGAAGTCTGTGATGGATAAGGAAGTTAAAATGAACAAAAAGACATACTGTACACATGCAAGATATCTGCAGTCTGCACTACTAGTGAGAGAAGTTTGAGGACATATGTTTAAATACCTGTCCACTGATGCCGAGCATGACTTTGGCGTAAACTCCTCTCTGTGTGGCTTCAGCGAGAAGCTCAGGAGTCCAAACTCCTTGCCAGATCAGACACCTTCACAGAAAGAGTTTACCAGACAAAGCTTAAATGAAATCTAGGGAATATCGGAGTCTATTTTATAAATATGGGGTTGACTTAATTTGACAGTTACAATGATGGTGATTTGTTAGTTAATCACGACAACTATACATATTCTTGGCTTTCTGGAACCGTTTAAGTGCCATTTGATACAGCTGCAAATTGCTATCTCATCTTAGTATTATTTATGCACTATTATAGTACTTAATATTTTGTATTAGCTTTTATTTTTATAATTAGATTTCATTTTAATTTCAGTTTACGTTTTAGTCATTTGTTATATGATTTTGTCAAATTTGTTTTTTTTATATTTCTATATAGCTTTAATTTTATTTTATTTCAGTTTTAGTACTTGTAGTACTTAAAACTTATTTTAGTTAGTTGCTAAGGCATTTCTAATTTTCGGGTTTTTTTGTTTGTTTTTTTTAGTTTAGGTTTTTCATTTGATATTTATATTATTGTAATTAATTTTATTACTGTAAACAACTGTAATAATTTTAGTTGATTGCCGATCTAGTTGAATTTAGACCAATTGATTTACTGCAGGGCAGTGCTATAATCATAATATTCATTGCACTTGCCTGGAGTGAGGTGAAAGAGTCCCGATGACCTGTGATTTGACCTCTGGACCCAGCAGAACCTCCACAGAGATCTCCGTATCACTGGAGAAGGACGACCATTCCCCTAAACCAAACACTATCGGCTGCTTCGGTAAAGGTAACGGCATCTGAACCTGGTACACCGTACGGTTGACATTTCTAAATAAGGTCAATTAGAGAAGAAGAAAAAAAGATGGTCAGGAAGTGGTCACCAGGGCTAGATCTACAACATGTTAAGAACTGTGTAAATGAGGATGCACTAAACACACATGCCCACATCATATAATTACAGTTGGCAATTTTTTAGTCTATGATCAAAACAGTGGTTTGATATGTTTGTTCATTTTTGCAGAAATCTATTATTAGTGTATACTACATTTTAGATAAAGATATGCTCTGTTTGTACCCTTTTTAACATTAGATAGGATTTCACATCTTAAAAAATAAAAATAAAAACATTCTCCTCAAATCGATGTCATTAATCAACATGTTTTTCCTGGGCAATAATGATGGAAATGCTCAGCAACTTCCGTAGCCGAGACATTTCTACCCTGAGAAATACTCATTCCTGTAAAAGTGTGACCAAAAACAAACAATATCAGGTCATCTAGTGAAGTTACTTAAATGAAAGCGCCCACCGTATAAACTGACGAGGTGCTTCACGTAAGGACCAGATGGCATAAAAGTGCACTTCGCCCATGCTGTTAAATGAGGATCGCTCAAACTCCTCCAGCGCTGGCGGCGGCGTCGGTGTGCGGCCTGCAAAAGCGCAGCCAATCCCGCGCGGCCGCTGGCGCATTTATCAGCATTTATTAACATCCCATAATGACAACCCTGGAAACATCCAATATGAACAAGCAAATAAATACATTCAAACATGTAAATAAATAAATGAATAATGAATAGCGGAATGATTAAAAATGTTTTAGAAAAATATTCAGTAGGCCTACAAAATAGAAATACATTTTCACAAAATATATATAAAACAGTTTTTAAACCAATATATTTTGAATTTTGAATTACAATTTAAAAGACATGTAGGGCATGCTTAAAAGTATGTTATTTTTGATTATGTGTTATTGTGTGTGCGTATATATATATATATAGTTTTAATTTATTTTTAAACTTTGGTTTTAGTAATCGTAGTACTTAAACGTGTTTCAGTTAGTTTCCAAGGCAGCATCTAATTTTCATCTAATATTTATATTTTATTTTATTTCTACAATACAATAACACAATGCACAACACTCGCAATGACCAACATCTCTTATACTGAGAATGTTTATGGAGATAATAGAATAATAATAGAATGAAGTCAATAAATACATTATAATAATAAAAAGGGAATAATCATGAATAGTGAAATAAATATAAGTTCAGAAAAAAATGTATACAATTTTTCAAAATTTTTATTCGATACAAAAATAGAGTACAATTTTTGATAGATATAAAAAAAGAAGAAGAGGGAGAAAAAATAACCCCATGACCCCATGGTAATTGTAATTCAAAGTTGAATATCACAAAATGTAATCCTGAATTTATTTATTTGTTAATAATTGTTTAATCTATTCATAGCAATTAGACATTAAACTAAAAATTATTTCAATGAAAAAAAAAACATGTATACTATTTTATATATTTTACTATATATATATATATATGTTATAGGCCTGATCATCAATACTAAATGGTTAGAAATATAAAAAAAAATGTAATACTCTCCATTTCTGGCTGACCATTTTGTTAATAAAGTAGCCTAACATATGATCATTACATTTGTGCTTTTATAATTGATTAAACTCTCATAGTATACAAAGCTGATTATAATATTAATATTTCATATGTATCAATCATAATCAAACATCCTATTTTCAAATAAATAAGCCTATATGTACATCATGAATAACGTGGGGGGTTTTTTCCAGTCTAACAGCGCCCTCTATCGAAAATAAGAAACAATAACCCTTCTAATTCTTCTGTTACTCAATACATTGACCTCAGTTTAAAGGGAAATGGTGCTTGTGATCATCCAATGAAAACCAGTTTTTAATGCTGAGAAAGCTTTTTTTATGGTTATCTTCAGAAGGAAGCGCAGACGCATTTTAAAGGAAGGAAGGAACCATAAAGCTGGATATGAAACAGGCAGCAAATGCACACCGAGTTCATTCTCAATGTTTATTGTGTACAACAAACAGCACAAGAAAAAACTAGAAAAGGATGACAAACATATATCAAATGCATTTCATACAAACAAGATACAGAGGAGGAGGACAAGCCAAAAAACACATCAGCAGAATGGTGTACCTCAGCAGCACAATGCAACAGTCTCTTAAGACAAATAATTAAAGGTACGGAAAGAAACTCACATGGTGCACATTCACAGCACGATTTGGTATTCATATAATCAAGAAGAGTATTTGAAGGAAACAAAATACTGTACTACAACCCCCGCTGGCAGCACTTGTGTGGCATATTGCACGTGATATAAGCAAAACAAATCGTAAAACCTTTGCTATAGGTAGTTTTGTAAGTTAACTTGGTAAAAGAGGCATCAGCCAAGAACATAAATGTAAATAAAACCTCTTCAATAGGCCATCTGCATTACATCTATACAGACCAAACTGATGCCAAACAACCCTAAATCATGCCAAACGGGAGCCTGGGACATTCAAATATTGAATCAGTTATGCAACAAATGAGCTTTTGTGGCAGGAAATGGTTTAAAGTTGTAAACAAGCTGGCTTTGACCATTTCCACGAGTAGTAGTTACCCTGGTGACTGAAGTGACAGCCATCTCAGTACAGTATATAACCGCCATAAGAACATATTTAAAACACATCTTAGCTAGCTGTGGCTTCCAGTGTCTTTGTGCCTGAGCAAACAAACCCAGTATTAGCAGTATGTTAGAAATAGTGTGTGTGACCTCAGAGGCCATTCCATGCGCTGCTCAATGTAGTATTATACAACAACAAAAAAGAACCAACCAAACAGAAAACACTCATATATCATTACCTGAATCAATAGTGGCTTCTGCCACATCACCTACATTGACTTCCTTGCTTTCCTTGTTTGCTTTTGAATCGTGTAGAACTGTTTGACCCGGTTGACCACCCATATACTTTCCCTGATTACTCTGTAGTCCCTGATATGCGATGCCACAGTTCTGTTGTGGTGTCAGACAATACACTTATAAAACATGGACCTTTTATATGAAATATATCATCTTGCACATAACGTCTTAAGCCACATAAAACACATTGCACATATCATGATGACTGTCCTGACGGTACACAGGCAGGATTTCTCCCAAGTTCGAGTTGGCAACTGATTTAGAGCCCTTCTCAACATCTCCAGGAACCCCAGGGACTGTTAGACAAAGCAATTGTCCAAACATCACTCAAAGTATTCCTTATATGCATCTACTTATTTTAAGCTTTGTACCAAAAAAAAAAAGTTTCACAACATTTAATATGACATTGAACCATTAATTTATATATATATTAATAATAATAATTTATGCATTTAGCAGACGCTTTTACCCGAAGCGACTTAGTGCATTCAGGCTATACATTTTTTTACCAGTATGTAAAATATATATATATATATATATATTCCATTTTTTTAACGTTGTGACATTATTTCCATTTTTAAGCACCAATAAGCACATTTCCCCACACCTCCCAAATTCTCATTGCCTGGAAATTCTGTTTTTATTTTTTATTTTTTTTATTTATCTTAATAGTGCTTCTCATTAAAGTGATATGATGAATCCATCTATCTATCTATCTATCTATCTATCCATCCATCCATCCATCGCACTTATTTATAACATTTTCTGTAACAATGTAAAATTCTTTACTGTGACTTTTGATCAATGCATCCTTGTTGTTGTTTTTTATATAAATTTTAAATTAAAAAAATTAAAAAATCTGACTCTAAACTTTTGAAAAATATAAATAAATATATACAATTTTCTCATATAATAATAATAATATCAAATAATTAGTCGTTTTATTTACAGTAATGAAAATTGGGGAGAGGATGGTGATGTGGCATTATAATTGTCACACTGCAAAAACATCCTAAAAGATCTTAAAATAGGCTTTTTCTTCATTGAAAATGTAACATTTTAATTTCATTATTTGGATTTGAGGTAAAATATGACCTGGACAAAATCTTGACTGGTTTCTTGAGAGTCACCCAGTTTACTAACTTGTTAATTACAATTGAGGCCAACTGTGGAACTCCTACCAGATCATCTGAACAAAAGCAGGGAACAGGACAGGAAGTACTCCCTCACCTTCCAGGTCATCTTCTTCATCCTCATCATCACTGGATTCACTAATGTGGACAGTAATGGCTCGGCTAGTGACTGGTGACCAGTCGAAGTAAACCCCAAAACCAATGTCATAGCCATCTGTGGCAAACTCCCAGCACACGTGCTTGGCCTCAGGAACAGTGGGCACGTGGACGGTCATTATGTCTCCACGATATACCGTCACCACGCTGTCCTTCTCTTGACACAGCTTCGTCTTCAGCTCCTTCAGAGCCACGGAGGTCCATGTGGATGCTGGTTTCATCGGAGGAAGAGCTGCAAAGAGATAAGTGACTGCTAGATTGATATTCTTTTAGTTTTCTCTAAAGTTTTTCATGCCTGTAACTCAAGAAGTATTAAGGATATCTTAATGACCTTTTAGATGTTGGATCTTACCAAACTATTCTTTGTCACATTACCCCCCCTCTACAAAATAGTGGATTACTCCGTAAATATACATTGATGACATTTAATATTTTGGCTTTGTTCTTTATTTAAGTATTTCTTTCACCAGAATGTTTTATTTTAACAAAATCAAAAATTTGAGCTGGGGAGCTCTGGTTAAGTTGACACAGAATGACCCAATAGTAATGCAGTGTAAGTCACTTTAGATTACGCGTCTTCTGCCAAATGTATAATAATAATAATAATAATTATTATTATTATTATTGCATTTGGCAGACTTTTTTTATCCAAAGCCACATACATTGCATTCAAGGTATACATTTTATTGGTTCATGCATTCCCTGGGAATCGACCCCATGACCTTGGTGTTGCTATTATTATTATTATTAATAATAATAATAAATACATACTCTTTCACAAAAAAAAATAAGTTAATTAGCATAACTTTAGCTTATTGGTGATATGCGAACTTGGCACACTAATAATGAAATAAACTGATAAGCAGTCATGAGTTTGTATTGTATACCAATAACTTTTACAGCACCTTTCATAATGCTTTATGTGATCAGAGCCTAAATATCTGCTATATTAAACAACTTTTGAACGGCATACTACAGAACTTGGCCTATATAATGTACACTGCATGCTATTTTTGAAAGTCACGTGACCTGCCCTATAGTGACTCGAAAGAAAACGCACTGAAGCTTATTCTGCTAAAACATGTTATATATAGAAAGATTCCCATATTTTAAAGCACAAACATCCTTCTTTTGTTCTGACAGCTCTGTTCTCGAGGGGCAATGATGAAAGATGATGAGAAGGTTTCCTGAGCTTAGCTTCACCTCTCTAATAGGGGGTTTGCTAACCTTTATTCTCCCCGGGGTGTGAAGCACTGCTCTCCTGTGAGTCACCCGCCTCTGCCTTCCCGAGAGATGCGCTGGACTCCTATTGACAACATCACAATACATACATAGAAGCACAGCACTACAGCACACTTATTCACATGTATCTGACAGGCTTGAATTCACTGTACCTCAGTAGATTGAGTAGATTCGCTGTTATCGTCCATTTTAGTTTGGGTGTCCGGTTGGATTACTGTCCGGGAAAGGTCTGTGCTTTGAAGTCTTCAAAATGAAAATGGGAAGGATGAGGTTTCCATACCTTTGAAATCTAAAATAACAATTGTTGCGCTCTGATAAACCTGCACAAACCTGTTTAAAGGGTTTGCTTCACAGGTTTTCGACGTTATACCAGGGAAAGAAGAAACAGACAGGGATGACAGTCTGGACTGCAGCTCTGATGTCTCTAGTTTCTCCATCTCTAAAGCAGCAAACACATGCAATATATAAACCATCACATTCATCACTCTCTAACCAGAGATTCAGTAAAGATTCAGTTCAGCTGCTGAAAACTCTTACCTGAATCAGAGGTGTCTTTCAATGAACCTCATAAATATATACATATAGTACTATTTTAAAATATATTAAAATAGTAAAATAAATTACACATCAAACTAGGATTAAATTGTAATAATATTCACAATATTGCTGTTTTTACTGTATTTTTGATTAAATAAATAAATATATACATATAGTACTACAGCACATTTGTGTATGTTACATTATAAAAAAACAATTAAATATAGTATTCATCTGTCATCCTGGATTTAATTTTTACTGTCACTTCAGTATTCAATGAGGTTTCCATACCTTTGAAATCTAAAATAACAATTGTTGCGCTCTGATAAACCTGCACAAACCTGTTTAAAGGGTTTGCTTCACAGGTTTTCGACGTTATACCAGGGAAAGAAGAAACAGACAGGGATGACAGTCTGGACTGCAGCTCTGATGTCTCTAGTTTCTCCATCTCTAAAGCAGCAAACACATGCAATATATAAACCATCACATTCATCACTCTCTAACCAGAGATTCAGTAAAGATTCAGTTCAGCTGCTGAAAACTCTTACCTGAATCAGAGGTGTCTTTCAATGAACCTCATTAAAAACTGAAACACAAACTCTGCAAGAAGACATAAAACAATGCATACTGTCTTCTAATAATAAATATAAATAAGGCTGTTGGACTACATTTTGTGCGCAGTCGTCATCAACTGACTCATGAAGCTCATACGAATCAGTTTTGACACGTCGAGTAACTAAAGTGAAATTCACCATCAAACCATCAATCTCAGCAGAGCACAAACACATCTGCATTC